GTAATTCGGCTAGTAGATTGTTGGAAAAAGTGTTGAGTAAATAAAAAAGAAAAGAAACATGTCTTTACTTCGTGACAAAATGGCGGCGAAAAAAAATAGAGGGTTGCTGTAGCAGAGTTGGTCGCCAAATTTTCGCCAAAAAATCGCCAAGTTACCATAATCCAAAGATCAACCAATTTTAGAAAGACTTGTATAGAAGAGAGAATGAAGAGACATGCAACTGTGATTTGAATAATGCTACAAAAATACACAATTTCCTATTTCTCTAGATAAACATATGTTCTTCTTCATCCACTTTTCTTTCACCTTTTATTAAAATCATGACTAATTGCTAAATTAGAATCACTATTCTAATTTTATTTACAACTTTAATTCAACAAAATTTGCACATATGCAAATATTATGCACAATAGATATTGACATAATGCACAGCTAACAAACTCAAATAAACAGGCTTTATAAGCCAATTTAATTTGACTTTATCTATGAGCAGCACAGCCCCACCCATAAACTGCACAGCTGTGCTCCTGCTGAAAAACTAGCAACTGTCTCAAAGAAAGAATAAGTCAAAATTATCAACTCATTAATAATAATAATAATAAAAAAGAAATAGATGCCAGAAAACTGCATGGCCACCAACTGCTGCCTAGCAAGCTAAATTTACTGATTGTACCTATGCGGTAAGTTCTCTCACTTGGCCTGCATTTACAACTAATATATGTTTAAAATGTGTTCAGGGCCCATTAAAGTAGTTAACCTCTTTAACAAAAACACTTACTTATTTCATATAAATGTTACTTCATCGAAAATTTTAACAATAGAGCAACTCTCTCTTAATAGACAGCAGTTATATGATTGTTAGTGTACTAAATAAGAAACAAAGAATGAATCCAGTGACAAATAAAATTTCTTGTGGTTACAACACCTGTATTTCCTTCTTTCTGGCAACAGCTAAGTGAGTTCTTACAATATCTGACCATGACATGACTTGGCCAGAGAACTTATCTGTGTTTTGAGTCATCTAGACTGATGTTCTCTATTTTTGTTTTATTTAGGTATGTAATATGTTATATTTACTGTTTTAATTAACTTACTTTTTTAAGCCTGTGCTGTATACTTGTGGCCCATGGGGAGAATGTATGCATTCAAAATTTAAAAATTATCTGATCATTTTTCTAAAGTACTCTGAATTGAGAACAAATAACATTTAATCAGTAAATTTGAACAGATTCAGATTTCTGTCTGAAGAGAAGCAGAAACTAAAACAATTTCATGAAACCTAAAATCCTAATGAATGAATTTTGGAGCTGCAGAAATAGTAAATTCTGAAGTTAAAGTTTCATTTATGTGAGTTGTTTATATCTCAAAGTGTTTCTTCATTGTAATTCCCACTCCATCATTCATCTTCAGTACTTTTACAAATTCTTAAGTTCATATAAATGAACTAATGTGTGATGCCCTGCATGTTATAAAACCAGGAAAATTAAAATAAAACCAGGAAGATCAGTTAACATTGAAGAAATTAAAATGTGTAAAGCTTCTGAATTAGCAGAACTTCAGTTAAATACTTAACTGAAGAAAATAAAACTGAAGTGATCAAAGGAAATAAAATTCCACCTTTAGAGGAAAAAAGTGTACCCTTTAAAAAAAAATATCATGTAAAACAAAAGCAACACAGTACTAAATCATCTTCAAACTATCAATAAAATACGTACAATAATCCGAAACCATGTAGAAAATGTGGAACTTTTCATAAGTTATAAAACTGTCCTGCTTATAATAAGATTTGTGCGTACTGTAAAAAGAAAAATCACTTTTCTAAAATGTGCACTTATAAAAATGTTAATGTTGTACAGAATAACTTAGAGCATGAGTTGCATTATAATGGTAGTGAATATATTTTAGGGTCAGTAGAAGATACAAACCCATTTTCTAAAAATAGAACAGAATGGTTTGAAAGACTAAAAGTAAACATATCTAAATATTTATTTGTTAAGTTGGATACCAGTGCTCAGTGTAATTTATTACCATTGCCTAAATTTAAACAATTAAATTCAAGAGATAAATGTTTGACTAAATCAAAAGTCATTTTAAATAATTACAACTGATGTAGTCGGAAAATGCATATTATGTGAAACATCGAAAGGGGTCAAGGGTAAAGTACAATTTCTCACCCAATGGCGAAAATATAAAAAGGCAAAGGGTTGAATTCATCCATTAAAATGAGAATGCACTAGGAAAATAAAGTACTACGGTTTTACGTAATTTCCGAGTAAGCTATTCGTACGAATTGATATAATTCTTGCATTTAAACTTGTATTCCAAATTAAGATTTAACTTGAAACTAATGTGGATAATTACTGAGAGAATTAGAATTTTGTAGCGTAATTTACGTGAGATGAGATCACTTAGGGTCACGTGATATGAACCGGTGAATCAGGATGTTGTACGATGGATTGGATTGGATTATTTAATTATGGCAAAGCACACGAGTGCTATCTGCCTAAAGGAAGGGATGCCTTCGTGGATGACTTTCTAAGGGAAACTGGCTCGTATACACGTTACACATGGGGAAAACCACGAAAATGCCCATGCAGTCAGCCCGTTCGCGGGATTCGAACCTCGGACCGAACTACCAGTGTTCAGCGTCTTGACGCTCGGCCGCTGGTGGGCCCGATGTTGTACGATGAAAGCATGGTAAATTCTTAAATTGTCTTCTCACAAATTTATTATCTTTATTTATTGGCTTTTTTACAAAATTTTAAATGACATTAAAATGTTTATACCTTCAAAATAAAATATTCTTAGAACTAACATTTGTCAACATTTTTTATGTGTATACTATGTGTTTTCACCAATAACGTCTGCTTGGGGAGATTCGCTGGCGAAACGGAAAAGTACCGAGCCCTGTAGGAAAATTCCACTTAGCTTATTAAAGCCATTAAAAAAGGAATTGGCAAGAATGGAAAAAGATGCTATTATAAAGAAAGTTAACCTACAAAATAGATCCTCAGCACCTTAACCAAAACATACTTAGAGAACATTATCAAATACCAATGCAAAGGTGTTTAGTATTTTAGATGCAAATGAAGCATTTTGGAAAATTAAACAGTCAGATTCAAGTTGTGAATTTACTACATTTAATATTTCGTTTGGTAGATATTGTTTTTTAAGGTTGCCATATGGATTGAGTTCATCACCAGAAGTTTCTCTGAAATTTTTAGTGACTTAGAAGGAGTTCAAATATATAATGACAACTCGTATCATAGATGCCTTATTAGTTTGGGGAAAAGACAAAAAAGAACATGATTTAAGATTAATGAAGTTGTTGGACAGAGCCAGAGAAAAGAATGTTAAATTTAATTTAAATAAATGTAAATCAGGGCTGAATAAATTGGCCCTGAGGATCTTTTATTTTCTAAAGATGGTTTAAAACCAGATGAAGACAAAATTAAGGCTATCCTAACGTATCAAAATTGACATCATGTTTAAGAAATTTGTTGAAAAACAAGTTGGTTAATCTTTGGAATATGGTAACAGGTAGTTTGGCGACATTTTGGTAAGGCGATAAAGATTACTAGCTAGGACTTTAGCAGTGTACATGGATAAAGTCAAGAGTGTGCACAATGCCATTTTTACAAAATTCTGGGATTTTTTTTTTAAGTGAAAATAGGTCGACGTGTACATGGATACCGTGTATGTGCAATTCTTAAAAATGCGGCAAGCAGTGGACGATTCTGCACTTTCTCCCAATTTTGCACCTAATCTTCGTCTTGATTAAGCACTTTTGTTCCATAAAAGTTCTAGCATAAGCGTAATTCGGCTAGCAGATTGTTGGAAAAAAAAAATGTTGAGTAAAAAAAAAAACATGCCTCTACTTCGTGAAAACAAAATGACGTAAAAAAAAAAAAAAAAAAAAAACTAGCAGGTTGCTGTAGCAGGGTTGGTCGCCAAATTTTCGCCAAGTTACCATAATCCAAAGATTAACTAAACAGTTTAGATGGATTTGAAGAAAGGTTCAGATGTGGCAATGCCAATATACGGATTCGAGTTAGGATAATTTTAGGAAGTTTTTAGATGCATTTTTGTGCAATTCGGGGATTTTTTTAAGTGAAAATAGGTCGATGTGTAGATGGATACCGAGTTTATGCAATTCTTTGTTTTTGTATAGCGCGATTTTTGACGCAAAAAACGCCGTTATGCAAGCCAAAATAATAAGTCAAAGAATTCCACAAACTCGTATTCATGTACCGACAAAAACCTCATTATTTAAAAGAATATGTATAATTTTATTATCCTCATTATTTCTGTTAAAAAAGGGACATGTTATATATGTAACTGCATCTATTATTATTAATCATAACGTAATATAGAATATTAGTGTAGCAATGTAGAATAAACTATGTTAGTGTACATCTTGTAATCATCAGTGAGCACTTAACCAACATATAAAAAATGAGCCAGGGTCTTATGAAAAAGCGGGGGTGTATGGCAAACAGTAAGTACATTTTACTGCATAATATAAATACACTTTATTTTTATTTCGTGAGTGCAAAATATATTCTGTTTACTTTAAAAAAGTTATTTTTAACACAGCATTCCATTTGATTTAGATACCTATGTGGTGAGAAAGCTTTGACTAAAATTTCAGTAAACAACCAGCACTGTATTTTCATTCGGAAATTTACTAGTATGAAGCCGAAGTTATGAATGATTATAAAAGTACACTTTTGTTCATAAGTTATTTATGGATTTCAGGCATTTAGGGTAACACGACTGACACGATAATAATCCAACCAAAAAGTCATGATTAAATCTAAGACACTTCTTTTCAGAGGTACGGTAAAAAATGCGATCATCTTTATAATTCATACTGAAAATAATAATCCGTAAATGCAAGTAATGGATTCTAACTTTGGCTAGAACAGCTATCGTTTTGGTTTCGGTTACATATAATAGCTGTAAGCTAAAAAAATACAATAAGTTAATTAAATAATTACCTTTAGTGTATGCATCGGCTTTGGTGCGCACCATGATGATATTCCGAGAAACCAAAGTATATATCTACAGGTAATATAACAAATTTTTTACATCTACAAAATAACAATTCTCACACAGTCGGAAGCAAGAACATCAACGAATTCCCGCCACTGAAATAGTGGAAGTAGAAGTTAAAAGCGTTTATAATTACATATTTCCACAAAAGATCCAGTTAAGTTTTTTTTTTTTTTTTTTTTTTTTTTTAAAAAAAGAAAAAAATGTGCAAATAAAATCTCAAGGGTTAAATTGAACGTTTCATTACTAATTTTGAAGATTCTGGATATATCCTACTTAAAACTTCCTAACCGATTAGCAAAATAATTTATATATGTACCTAGTTGGGTGGCTGTGTCTACCCGTACGACGTCGGACGTTTAGCTGAAACATGGTAAAAATGCTAAACGTACGACTAGTTGCACAGAGACACTATCGTGATTTCTGCGCATTCCGACCAGTCGTAAAGAGATGTTTGTTTACATTTGTGTTGATTATCGGAAGGGTGAATTGCTTTTCCGTGTAGTGCTAGAATGTCAAGAAAAAGTTATTTTTTATTTCGTTTGATGACTAATTACTATCATTCTTTGATAGATATCTAAAACATTATATAAAATAAAGAACTTTAAATATATCTGAATATTATTCTTGTTTTAAATTGCTAATGTTTGATCATTTTATACTGATGCGGAGTTTACACAAATAATCAAAATTTCTTGAAATTCTTATCAACAGATTTAAATAAATCATGCATGCAAGCAGTAAAATCACATTCTTATGAAACGAAATTGAAAAATCGTCTTAAAAACCTTGTGTAACTTTTCTGTCATGCGTAGCTAAATATTTCTATAAAATTGCATACAGAAGCATTTATATACATAAAGAGTGTGTTCAGGAGAATAATTCAGAAATGTATGTGCATATGCTTGTATGTACGGATGTTGATGTAGGTGTCATGTTTATGTAGCATATGTATATGTGTGTACATACGTTTGTGTGTGTGTGCACAGATATACATGCATACACATACATTTTTGAGTCTGGTCTCGAAAAAAAGTCTTGCTGAAAAAGAATGTAAACAAACCACCCAGCTCCTTTAAAAAAAAAGTTTAGAAATTTTTTATCATAATTTTGGTTTCTACAGCAAACTTTTGTGTGTGGGTTTGTTTTAAACTCTTAGAAGAACTCAAATTTTAATATAAAGACGTGAAAATTTTTGACCTTTTGATAGTGTACCTGATGATTTATTAAAAACACAATTGACTCTCTTATATTTAATATTGAAAAGAAGGAGGGGGATATGTACAAAATTATGATAAAGATAATTCTAAGGTATTTTTTAAAAATATATGTGACTGATTACACACTCTGAATATAGAAAATAATCACTTACAAATGACTTATGCAGTATTTGTTTTATTATATCCTGACCCCATAAGCTCAAAAATAAAACTTTATACAGGAAAGTCATTTTACCTCCAAATATATTTTATGGTATTGAAGTATGATAACAGATGATTATTTTTGTTAGAAAAATTATAATGTTATGAATATTTTCTAAAAAAATATTTTCCTGAAAATAATTATACATTATATTCAAGTAATAGATGACATATTTATATATTCTATTTAAGAAATAAATGGCAGCACTATGTGTTGTCATTAACTTTATCAAAAGAACTTATAGGTTCAAAGCACCTAATTTCTAGTATAAGAACTGTACTTCGAATGTCCTTTTCTTTTCCTTTTCCTTTTTTTTTTTTTTTTTTTTTTTTTTTGTCTGTAAGAATTTTAAAGTGCTTGGCCTTTTTTTATCTAAATATGGAAGTCTGAAATAATGCAATATATTTGTATGTATATAGAGTAAAATATTAGTAAATTCTACATAAGTACATTATTATTCTAAGATAATGTATTTAAAAATATTCAGTTTAATGCAAATATGTGAATCAATTTATACATATAAATTTTAAGTGTATGACTTCTGTTGGATGTTTTAAGTAAACAATAAAAAAAAATTAACCTTTTTATCAACTTATCTTGCACATATATACATTATTACTTTTTTTTCCTATAAGAATAAACTTAATCTAATATAATAATCTAAAAATAAATAATACACAACATCTATTAAGGCAGACCATTTTTAGTACAGTAACAAATAATACAAGCAATATAATTTAATACTTTCAGTTCGTCAGAGAATGAAGTGAGTTTTGTGAAGCTATTTAATGAAACAAATCTGAAAACAATTTTTGATGGTTCTAAAATACAAGTTCTAAAAGAATTAAAATATGTACATGAGATAAATGCCGTTCTTTTTGTTTTAACCCCTTTGAATAAATTTTAACCAATTTGATACTTTTTTTACTTCTTTTCAAAACCTTGAAATACATGAGAAACTGATTTCAGGACCAACACATTTCAAGAAATATTGCTAACTGCAATGAATCAGCACACATGTATGACTTCATCAGAATGTCTTGTATTACCTTTATTTATTTATTTAAAGTTACTAATGGATTTATATCTAGAAGAGCTGAGATTTCTAATACAGTTACCACACTGGCATTTTTAATGATCTTTTCACTAATGATTTGAAATCTCTCTATATTTTTTTATTATTATTCAAATGAAAAGTTTTTGTTCATTTGTTTCCAAAATAACAGCTACTTCCTTAGTTCAATTATTATTTTTTTTACTGGTTTGTCTGGTGAACTCCTTGGTTTTTTTTTTTTTAGTCCATTTCAGAATTGGCATTTGTCTTTTACATTTATATCACTTTTAAAAACACTTTCTGCAAAATAAACCGCTAATTTGAAAACTGCGGCAGACATTATTTACACAGTAAGATTAAGTACTTTCTCGACATTTTGAAGCAAATCTTGTTAATGGTCTCCTTTATATGAAATATAAAATACATTTCTTAAATATCAGTATAGCGCTATGATTGATTGAATACAGATTGCTTAGCCAAACACTATTTAGCATTATAAAGTTTTATCTATTCCATTAACATGATTAAACAATTTATATAAAAAGTGCCGACATATAATCTTATACTGTTAGTTCCTTTTATTGCAAATTCTGTTACATGCACAAATTCCCATTAACACAGGAGAGAACCATCCCAAATAGTTATAAGTCTCCCTTGACATTCAACGAAACAGATAATGGAATCTTTTCAGCCTGACGTCATAACGGCAACAATAAGAACAGGGTGGTGGCTGGGGCCAGGCGCTTTCATAAATCGGTTCACTTTTCAAACTGTTGCCACAAATGTTAAGTCCTGCATTATATTTGAAGAATTAAATAATGAAAAATCTGCATAAATTTGTCTATTTCTCGCATTGTGATAAAACAATGGTACATAGAGCCATCGAATTTTGAATCGAATCCTATGCGAATATGGGCATTTGAAATCCCAAATTTGGAATTTGTTTTTATATAGATTTATATTTTGTAAAACTTTAACGAATTTTTGATTTACAAACTCAATGCTTTAAAGCGAGAAATGGCAACGTTATATAGAAAAAAATACTTTTATCTCCAGCTCGCGAGACTGTGTTATCGGAATTCTAAAGATATGCTTTTTAAATTATTTTTGCGATATTGCTCTTGAACTGAATTTTATGGTTTAAGTGCAAAGAACATGATATTAATAAATAAAGGTAACACTCAAAACGTTAAAAAAACGCCCTTTGGACGTAATTTAAAATCTGAAAAATTTCAGATTTTTTTTTTTTTTTTTTTTGTGAATACATTAATTCTGTAATTTTTTGTTTTCAGTTTTTAATTTCTCTTTTGAAAAGTTTTCTGCAGTTTAACTTAATAGCCTTGAAACTTATGATCAACATTCAAAATCTAACTTCCATTTTAAATTTCAATGTTTACCTGGATTCATAACAAGTGTATTATTTTTAAATTATTCAGACAACTTAAGAGCTCTGTGTCTTACATCTTCATAATGGTAGAAAATTTCATTGTACAGCCTATGTACATTTTAGTTTTGTCATGTCATGCCATTTGTGAAATATTCCTTCTCTCTGCTTAATTTTATTCCATATATAGAGATATTCAGTAAGTTTAAGCATAATAAATTTGTAGAAGATAAATGTCTAAAATTCCATTTTCAGTTTCCTATGTAGACTTAAATGCATTTAGTACAGCAATCAATTACGCATTGAATTCCAATATAAAAATATTTTTATACACAGCCTTCAGATCATTCCTGAACATCATTCAAATCATCATCAGACTGCAGTATGAAATATACAAATACTTCTTCTGTTTTTGAAACAAAAAGAAATCATTTGATGACAAGGTCTAGTGAACATTGTGCATAGGGTATAAGCTGAAATTATCATTCCTGGAACAGCAATCTGGCAAATTTTAGTCTTGTGTGCTGCAGCGTTTTTTTTTTTTTTTATGCAATAGCGGAATTTTACTGCTGAGTTTGCTACGCAGTTTTACATTTATAGTTAATAGGAATTGTATTGGATTATTACGTCAAAAAAATGTGAGAACTATCTGTCTAAGAGAAGATATGCCTTTTCAAAGGAACAATATAAGGGAAACTGGCTCTGATTCACTTTATACATGAGGAAAACAGCAAAATCTCCTCTGCAGCCAGCCTATTCGTCAAGATTAAACTCTGAGCGAATTACTAGCATTCAGCGGATTTACCTCTCGGCCGCTGGTGGGCCTTGTACAAGTTGAGTCAACAGGTTAGCGTAATAAACACCTTTTATCATGATATTATGTGACCTATAATCTATAAGCAATGCTCTTCATAAAAAATGTTAATTCTGTTTGCTTTCTGGATTCTGAACTTAGCTAGTATATGTGATCTATGCTCTATTCTCTTGTTTTGAGATCTGCTCATCAAAACAGAGCAGCAGGTCAATTAAAGAAGGATATGCATGCAGTGCAATCATCTTCAGTACGATATCACGTCACGTCTTTAGGAGTCCTTCTTCTTTTAGAAAATAAGTACTGACTACAATGCATTGAGGCATAAAATTGAACAGGCACTCGTATAATCCTATTGCAAACACTCCACACTTGCTAGATATTGCGTTTCACATTGAGGACATCGAAGCAACTGAGCCTACGCAGGC